ACTTGCTCAGGAGATCTCCCTTTCCCCTTCTCAGGGGGGCCATGTATGTCTCTCTTAGGATCCTTATTTCCTAGCTTTTCTGGCAGTGGGGATTGCAGGCTGGTGATCCTTTGCTCTGTGTCTGATATCCATACATGTTTGAGTACATACCATGTTTGTCTTTTTGTGACTGGGTTACCTCACCCAGGATGGTTTCTTCTCTTTCTATCCAACAGACGATAATTTAAAATAAAGTATTTGGAACTGAGGGATTGTCTGGTGGCTAAGAGCACACATTACTCTTCCAGCAGAGGACCCGTGTTTGACTCCCAGAACCCATATAAAACAGCTCACAACTGCTGTAACTCCAGCTCCAGGAGATCGTCCAGGGTCACCCACACACATGTGACATGCATTCATACACACACAATTAAAATAATAAAAAAAATTAGAAATGGCATGGATGGGGCTGGGAGAAAAACTCAGACAGAAAAGTGCTTGTCTTGCAAACATGAGGACCCAAGTTCAAGTCCCAGAACCCATGTAGTTTGTTTTTTTTTTTTTTTTTTTTTTTTTTTTTTTTTTTTTTGAGACAGAGTCTCAGTGTGTAGCTCTGCTGTCCTGGAATTCACTCTCTTGACCAGACCAGCCTCAAACTCACAGAGACTCACCTGCCTCTGCCTCCTGAGTGCTGGGATTAAAGGTGTGTGCTATCAGTGCCTAGTTAAAGTCTGACTCTTAAAGAGTGGGTAAAGAACTGAGAGAGTCTTTCAGGAGGTGGCTGGATGGGAAGCGGCATCAGACCCTGGTGTAGGCTGGGGTGAGGGCTGAACTGTTGTCATCCAGGGTTTCATGGTGGGAAGGTGGGTGGGTACCAAGCATCACCTAGTTACTGAGGGCCTGGTTTAGAAGTTGACATTAATTGCAAAGAGAACCACAACCTCGGGCTGCTTAGGAAGGGCTGGGAGAGCCGCAATAAACCCAAGGAGATTTATTGGTCACTAGACCTGTGTCAAGGGGAAGCAGGGTCCAGGATAGGCCTAAGGAAAGGCATGTCACCCACCATGGAGGGACTTAGGTAAGTGACTGCCTCCCAGGAAGTGGGGGTGGTGGGGTGTGGTCAGCATGTAAGAAAGTGGCCTATTGGCTCAGCAGTGGGAGATGGGGACATAAGGGACACTGATTGCCTGGGTGTTGTCCTGATAGCTGGGGATGGGCCGATGGTCCCTTCTATCCACCCTTTCACCAGCAGTCCTGCTGAGCATTTGCTAGGAGCCAGGCTGGCAGCACCCTTCAAGGACTGCCATACCGGGCAGCCTCCCCACCATCACCTCCAGAAGTCTTGGGTGGTCTAGACCTGACCTAGGAAGTCGGTGGAGGGGCAGGGAGCAGAGATCTTCAGGTCCTGTAGGGTCAGGGAAAGGTGAATTTGCTGCTGTGGGCTCTGAAATCTGCTTGCTTGAGGGCGCTTTATTGTGCTTTCTTCCCTGGGTTTTGTTCCTGTTTCTCCCTGGTTTTGGCCACAGTCCTTTTTAAGTTGGTGCCTAATTGTTGGACTTAAGGAAACAGAATGGGACCGAGTGTTAGGTGTTAAGGCGAGGGTCTCTGAGGGAAAGTCCCCAGCCGGGCTGTTGCTTGTCTTCAGGGAGAGAGTGGGAATCAGAGACCGAGTCCGGAAGGCACAGGTGCCCTCAGCTCTACCCCAACCCCCCACCTCCTCTCTTCTCGACAACAGGATCTGGTTTGCCTGTAGGTTCTTGGGTGACCACAAGTGCATCTGTAGCCTCAGGCTTTGCCCCAGCCAGGCCTGCATCTTCTTGGCACCCTTTGGAAAGTGTGCTGATGGGACAGACTTGGGGTTCAAGCCGGGGGACAGGGAGGCCTGCCGAGTTGAGAATGAGGAAGCAGTAAGATGACCTGCCAGGAATAAGGGCAGCAGCATTCTGGGTTTTCCCATTCCACTGAGATTCCCTTCAATTCTGGCGGCCCAGCTGCTGTCGTAGCACCAGCCACAGGGGGGCGCTGCTCCCAGATGCCAGCTCGCCATAGCGCCCCCTTCAGACTAGTCTGTAATGAAGTTCCTGTGAGGGGGCTGGGAAGGGATAAGGCTTTGTGAGCTGCAGTCAGACTCTGGGCGTTCCCATGAGAAAGACAGCTCTTGTCTTTCTGCCATGGTGTCTCCCAAGCCTTTTAGACCCCACAGCCTCAGCTGCACTTGGTTTCACAAGACAAGCCCAGCTCCCTGCCTGTCCCCCTCACCCTTGCTAGGCTTCAGTTCTGGCCCCTCTCTGGCTGGTAGACCCTTTTCTTCCCCAGTTATTCAGCCATCTGGGGACCCGCTTGCTTTCCTTCTCTGTAGTCTCTCCCATCCACTCACACTTTAGCTCATTACCTTATCTCCATCATATATTTTTATCAGCAGAGACCAGTACCTGGAGGAAGGGACTTCCAGATAAGCAAGAGCACTGGAGAATAATAAGAAGGGGCGATGGCAGCTCTGCAGATAAGGGTTTCCTGGGCTCCCTTGGGAGGGAGTGCCAATGAAGAATGGAGAATGCTGTGGGGCCTGTCTGCCTTCCTTCCTTCCCTGTCTTTTTTTTTTTTTTTTTTTTTTTTTTTTAGACAGAGGTTTTTGTTTGTTTGTTTGTTTGTATAGTCCTGGCTGTCCTGGAACTAGCTCTGTAGACCAGGCTGAAGGTAGTCTCAAACTAACAGGGATCTGCCTGCCTCTACCTCCCAAGCGCTGGGATTAAAGGTGTGTGACACTGGAGACTGGCTTCTTGGAGACTCTATCCATTACAAAGCAAAGTCTAAATCTCTACTTTGACAGCCACTGAGTTGTGTGACCAGCCTCAGTTTCCCTATCTGTAACATGCAAACACTACTACTTACTTCAGTTCTGTGCACAGAGCCCAAAATCAATACAGTTGGTTCTTGTCTCTGCCAGGGTGCAGGCTCTCTTTTTCCCTGTCTGCTTCCTGGCTTTTACCCCACAGCTAATAACCTTTTGTACATACATACTCTCTATACCAGGCATGCTTACACCGGCCGTGTCAGGGACCCTTGTTACCACTGGGAAAGCTGAACTGTAGAGAGGCAGTGAGCAGAGTTTGCAGAAAGAAGGTAACAGCAGAACTGGCCCCAGAGGCCCAGGTCTGGAAGCACCAGGGCAGCAGGTGACTGGAGAAGACATGACCAGTGTTTCAAGAGTCTGTGGTGGCACAGGAGGCTGGCCGGGCTGTGGCCCGCTCCATCATCACCCAGGTCACAAGCACGTGCTTTCAGTGAGTCCTCTCAGACCCTTGTGGAGGGTACCCTTTGGTGGCCAGGCTGGATACCTGGTCTCTTCATGTCCTGAGCAACCAGCTCCCTCGCCTGTACCAGCCATCTCAGGTGGCAGCAAATTAAAGCTGCTTCACAGGGTGATCATGTCCACCCGCCCCTATTCCCCATTCCTCCCCACCCCCACCCTGCCACTTGGGGCCTGTAATCAATGAGACGGAAAATGAGAAAGTGTCAGGAGCTAGCAAAGCATGGAGAGCAGCTGGGGTAGTCCCTGAATTGTGCCTGAGTGGGTGGACCCCAGCCCTTCACCCCCAGCTCTGGTTCCAAACCAGCCATTGCTGCCATCCACTAAGTGCCTAGCGGGGCTAGGATCCCAGCTGGACATCAATAAGAAGGCCTACTGTCAACATGTCCAACGCCTCATCTTGAAAAATGTCATGAAACCCGCTGGAGAAAAATGTGTTCAGGATGCATGTCAAAATAGCTGACAGACACCATGGCTTCTATAAAGGGATCCCATTTATGTCATTATAGATATTGGTGTGCACACAAGAAGGGGGCTGAATAGCAGTTACTCCTGGGAGTAAGGACAGAAAGCACTTTCCCTTTGTTGACCCCCAATAAGGGTATACTGCTTTTATAATTAAAAAACAACTTTAGGATAAAGTATTTCCATTATGGGAAGAATAGCTCACAGAAACATGAATGGGCCAGTGAAAACATGCAGGGCCTGGGCTTTGGGCTGAAATTCAGGGAGGAAGGGCCAGCTAACTTCTGCTGCTCCAAAGCACGGGTCTAAAGCCAAAGCACAGAGAGTTCGATTTTTTAAGAGCTAGCAGGACATGGTGGTTATAATCCTAGCACTTGGAAGGCAGAGGTACAGAAGTGAGCACACCCCCCGCCGTGTGTGTGGGTGTGTGTGTGTGTGTGTGAGAGAGAGAGAGAGAGAGAGAGCGCACTGGTTAGAGTACTGTAACTCACTTGTTAAGAGTTCTTACCTCACACACATGAAGCCCTGGTTTTGACTCCTAGCACCTTATAAAGCTTGTGGTAACCCATGCTTGCAACCCTAGCACTCAGGAAGTGGAGACAGGAGATTAAAAACATTTAAGGTTATCCTTGGCTACACAGCCAATTCAAGGCCAGCCTGGACCGCATGAGACTGTTTATAAAAATGAGACAGGTAGCACATGCCTTTAATCCCTGCACTTGAACTTTGAATTCATGGCTAGCCTGGTCTACAGAGGAGAGTCAGGAAATCCTGTCTCAAAACACCAAGAGACAGAGAAGACAGCATCTTTTAAGAGTCTTTGAAATACATGGCTTTTAAGACTGGAGAGTAAGTGTGTGAGGAAAACCCTGGTATTCATACACAGCCTACACCTGGACAATGAGCTTGCTGCTTTTCCCAGCCCTGCAGACTCAGCCCAAGGACCAAGCCCGCAGCAGCCCTGTAGTTGAGCCCCTTGCCCCAAAGCATTTCAGTTTCCCACTAACAGGAGCATGGCCTGGCCTGCTAGAGCTTTCAAGTGAGGATGGATCACCTCCTACAGCCCTGCTCTGCTCACACGGGGCTCTTCTGTGTCAAGCACCCAGGCTGGAAAAGCTGGGAGAGGCTGGTAGCTTTCAGCCTCTATCTGAGTCTATCAGTAAACAGGGACAGATGACTGTGAAGGGCCAGGAGGGCTGTGGGTGGTCACTCCACGTTCCACTTCTGAAGTCACAGAGTACAGAAATGCAGTTGGATACAAGTTTATTGGCGGAGCTGCAGTGGATCCCTCCTTCTCCCTAGGGAAAGCTGAGGGCACAGCACCAACAGAAGGATGGACAGACAGATCCCTAAATGGACACACAGGTACAGCAGACTCATAGGGACCAGCACAGCCACAGAGGCACAAAGACACACAGGCCACAGCACCAAAGAACACACATACACAACAGACAAAACACAGGACTAGCACACAAACAAAAGTGCAGGCTTTGGGGCCCCTGCATAGACAGAGCAAGGATCACGAGGGGAGGGGGCCCTGATGACCTCCCCAGGCATAGGCACACAAAGAGCACACAGACAGGCAGATGTTCCCAGCTAGCCAGCCAGCCTGCCACAAGGACATGTGATTTGCACAGAAAGGACAAGGCCATGTGGAGCAGGAATGGTGGGCTTCCACACACCCCACACCCCTAAACTGCTTACAGCTATTCAGTCTGACTTCCCCCCACCCCCTCATACACGCTTTGGTCTTGACCACTGGGGCATTTGGCAGGTGAAGATGGAGAGAGGGTGGTCCCTTCTGTGATGGGGAGGCAGGTGCTGAGAGTCCAGGGCTGAGCCTGGGCCTGGCAGTGGGGTGAGGGTGGGGCTGGGGCTCAGGCTTGGGGGGGCTCCTGGCAGCGCAGACACTGGGCCATCTCAGGATGGTATTGCTCCACCTGCAGGGTGCAGCTGGAGAATCCAAACCGGGAATAGAGCCGGGATGAGGCTTCAGCCAGGACAGCTTCAGGGTCAGCCGTGGAGTCTGTGGGAGGGTGATAAGAGGTAGCTCAGTCCCCAGGGAGTTGGGCGCAGCCGAGGGCTGAGATAAGGAATGAAGGGGCCCAGACACAACGCAGCCCTGAAGGACTGAACGGGCCTCTTCACTTTCCTTCTGCATCACTGCATTATATGAACAGTGTAAAACTGTAAAGACAGCGTGAGAGACACTCACACCAATGGGCCATGCTGACACAGTAAACTGCTGGTTACTTATTTCTTCCTGCCTCTGAGCATCAATATACAGCTGGATAGCTCAGTGGCCACACCACTGTATTTCCAGGACAAGCCAGATGTTACGCATTCTGTCCCACTGTCCCTCTCCAGTTACCATCCGACAGCCCACAAGTTATGATATTTTTGGCATCCAAATTGCATGCCTCTGATTGCTTCTTGCATCTGGGAGAGACTCAAAAACCCTTTGTCAGCTCATGAGTCACTGTATATATATTTTAATAGTTGAATCATAATGTAGATATAATTTATATTCAGCTTTTTTTTTCTCAAGCATTATACCACAAACATTTTCCCTAGTTGCCACACAGGCTTCATAATCATCACTTTAAATAGCAACGTAACACCCTACTGAGTGGAGCTGCCACAGTTGCTGAGCTACATCCTGGAGGTACTGATAATGTTTTAAAGGTCCCAGGTCCCCACACTACTTCAGAAATGGTACTGAAGTGCCCAGGCCTCCTTGTCTCCAGAGCATGTATATGCATGAGTGTGCACATGAATGTGCGTGAGAGAGACCAAGAAAACCACAACAGGCCGGCAAGGTATTTCAGACGTGAACCCCAGCACTCAGGAGGCGGAGGCAGGAGGCTCTTAGGGACACCTGGGCTATGGAGTGAGACTCTGTCTCAAGCAAACAAGCAATGCCACCATAAGTGAGGCTGTTGCCACAGGTGGCAGTGGAGGGGCTTGTTATCACTCACCGATAGCCAGGTGTGCAGAGACAACATGGTAAGTCAGCGTCAGGGCCCACAGGTGGAGCTCATGGGTTGCTCGGACTCCTGGCACTGACAGCAGTGTGTCCCTTACAGGTTCAAACCCCACGCTTCGAGGGGCACCTACAACCAATGCCACCATATTGCTGCCAGGGCTCTCCCTGCCCAGGAGCAGCCCCACCAAACGCCACCCTGCCCAGCCCTATTCTCCCCCACCCCGTTGACCCCAGGCCTCCCTGGCAATGGGCCCCATGAACCAGCTTTCTCATACTGTTTCAGGATGGGATGGAGGACTGAGGGAGCCCCAGGGTGGGAGCCTCAGTGTTGAATTCACCTTCCATGAGGATTCGGAGAACATCTCGAAGGGTCGGGGCTGTGGATCCAAGGGCACAGATCGAGAAGAGAAAAGTACTGATGGGATCAGCCGCCTTGTACTGAGGCTATAGGAAAGTGACAACTCTTAGAGAAGGTTCTGGGCCCATCTTGGCAAACAGAACCTGAAGGGATCCTGAGACTCACAGAGGGGAAAGAGACAAGGCCCAGAGACAGGAGATGCCCTGAGAAGCTAGAAGCTAACGTGAATGAGGATGGCAGAGGTACAGGGAAAGGGAAATGGTATTCAGAATAGGGGTGGGAGACTGAGGCAGCCTCCATAGCAGTACCTTGAAGTAGATGAGGATGGAGGCAGCCAGGACTCCCAGGCTCTGAAGGAGATCTCCCAGCACATGCACAAAGGCAGCCCGCACACTGGTGTTTCCCAGGGGCAAGGGGTATCCTTGCCCCTCCTCCAGTGGTGCATATTCTGCACCCCTAGATCCATGGCTGTGGGGGGGCCCAGCCTGGTGCAGCACAAAGGCCATTCTGAAGGAGAAGGAGAGAGGTTAGCCAGATGGCCTGTTCTTGCTGTCTATAGGCCCCACCTCCACCAGCTTCCCATCCCAGGAAAGCAGCACTACCTAACAGAGAGCACTGTCAGGGGCAAAAGATACTGGACATGGAGCCAGAGATGGAGGTTCAGGTCCTGGCCCTGACATTTAAATAGTCAACTGCCCCCGGGAGTATCTTTTACAGGATTCTAAGAGGGAAGCTAGTGCTCATGGATTAATAGACTCAAATAAGACCAAGTGGTAAAAGTAGGGCCAGTATCCAGTAAGGCTTCACCAAATATCTCCTGGCTGATTATTTCCCATTCCTTTTCAGACGTACCCAGTAAAACAATGGAGTGCTCTCTTTCTCTCTCTCTGTCGTGTGTGTGAAAGAGAGTGTGTGTGTATGTGTGTGTGTGAGAGTGTGAGTATGTGTGTGTGAGAGTGTGAGTATGTGTGTGTGTTGTATGTGTATGTGTATATGTGTGTGTAAGAGTGTGTGTAGTGAGATAGTCATTCTGTGGCACTGACCACGCCCTTTGGGGGTGGAGTCATGGGCGGATGCGACCTGTGGAAGGAGGTCTGAGGAAGAGCTGGGAAAAGCTCTCTTGCTGGAGGGATTCGGACAGGTGGTACTTGTTGATGTTCATCTGTCTATGTTGTAAGTTATTTTGCCCTGAATAAACATCTATTCGGCCTATTTGTTTATCCTGATCCTTATTTAACAGCAATAAGTGTGTGTGTGAGTGTATGTATGTGTGTGTGAGTGTATGTGTGTGAATGTGTGTGTGTGAGTGTGTCTATGTATGTGAGTATGTGTATGAGAGTGTGTATGTGTGTGTGAGTGTATGTGTGTGTGTGAATCTGTGTGAGTGTGCGAGAGTGTATTGTGTGAGTGTGTGAGAGTATGTATGTATGTATGTGTGTTGTGAGTGTGTGTATGTGAATGTGCGTATATGAGAGTGTGTATGAGTGTATGTGTGTGTATGAGGGAGTGTGTGTATCATAGACTGTGTGTATGTGTGTGTGTGAAAGTGTGTGTATGTGTTGTGTGAGTGTGTGTGTGTGTTTGTGTGAGCGTGTGTTAGCTCTACCATTCTGGAAGAAGACCCTCTATCCCTGGACCCCACCTGGAGCCCACCACACACTGGGACATACAGCATATTGGCACAGACGGCGATGCTGGCGGTGAGCAGCATGGCACCCCCCTCGATGTGGTAGTCACTGTGCAGCAGGCGGATGAAGGCCAGGTACAGCAGGACGCCAGTGACCATCCAGAGAGAGACCACAGAGGCCAAAGCCCCCAGAGTCTCTGCAGGGAAAGACCAGTTGTCAGGTCGGGGCCCTCAGGCACTGGCAGGCGGGGGCAGGGGATAGCACCAAGTCATGCAGGGTTTTACCTGAGCGGTGCCAGCCAAAGGTCATGGTTCGGGTGGCTGGCCGAGTAGAGAGCCAAAGAGAGAAGAGGCTGCCCATCATGCTGCCTACATCTGCCAGCAAGTGTGCAGCATCGGTCATAATGGCCAAGCTATGTGCCAAATACCCACCTGCAAGGGGTAAGAGCGCAGGGCCTGGAGTTGTAGCACATATGCAGTGTGGAAAAGGGAGGCACGGAAAAGAGACGGGGGTTTTCTCAGGGCAAAGATTATGAGTATTTCATTATTATTATTATTATTATTATTATTGAGACAGGGATTAAAGGTGCGTGCACCACCACCATATCTGGTGAACACAGGATTTTTTTCTAGTCTTTCCTTAATGATATATTTGGTTTTCCTAACAAGAGAACAGGCGAGTTCACATGGAGCCTGCCCCACAAACCCCATGCTGGTTCATCCTGAATCCCAGGCGAGGTGCCCTGTCCTCGACAGTCCCTCCCAGCCCTCCTCTTGCCTGCTTCTCCACCCAGGGGCCTTGGGTCTTGGTGCAGATGTGGCACCGGAGAGGTGTCCCCAACTTACCAACCACCTCCCCAGCCATGAAGATGAAGCACACAGCACAGGCGGCACACAGCTGCCTCCGGGCTTGCAGCCGCTCTGGAGAGAGGCCTGCCTGCGGCACGGGGTCCTTATGGCAGTGGTGGAAGGCCATTCCCTCAAGCTTGGGCTCCTCAGGGAGCGGCTCTGAGGGCTCTGCAAAAAGACTGAGGCAGGCAGCATGGTCACCCTTGAGCCTGGCCACAGAACTGCCAGTCAGCCACAGGTTGATGGACCTGGTGCGTGCCTGAGAAGATGGGCTCATCTTTGCCCCTTTGCTAGACCCAACAGGTATGTGGGGGCTCAAATAAACACTCAGACCCAGGCTCTCTCTCCTCCCATACACAGGGCCACAGAATCCCACACCTGAAAAGTAAAATCTAGTGTTTTAACACATGGATGTGAAATGCAAGGCCCAGGAGGGAAAGAGCCAACAGGGCCACACGGGGCAGGTGGTGGAGCTGGGACTAGATACTGACCAAATTCCTAGACTATGAGAGGCACCCCAGGGATGCAAAGCGGATGGCCACTCTTCCTGAATGATGAGAGTTCTTGGTGAATGGAACAAATGTGGACTAGACACGATGACACACAGCAGAAGGCAGATGTTGCTGTTGGAGGAATTCTGGTGCTCTCAAGTGAGTTCTAGTGGGGAGATCACAGAAACCACATGAGGAGGGCCTGAAAAATGAGGAGGGTTGTAACAGAGACAGCCAAAGTGCCAGAGAAACACGAAAGAGAGCAGGTATGAGAGCATGGTACACACAGTCCCGATTCATACATCTCTCAGCCTTGCTCCAATGCCTTGGTCCCCAAAGCCTGTCTGTCCCCTTCCTCTCAAGCCAGGAGATACAAGTGACATCCTTTGAAAGGGAAGTGGAAACTGCATGATGACTCATGCCTGCAGTCCCTGCACATAGGAAGTTGAGGCAGGAGGATCAATTGTTGAAGGCTAGCCTTGAACACATACGAGGGGAGCAAGCAAGGTTGTCACAGGAGCGGAGGTTTCTGCCTACTACAGCTGGGGTGGTAGGGACAGGAGCAATGGATTTATAGTCCAGCTCGTTAACTGGAGCCTAGTATGTCCACACATCCCTTGACAACAGGGATGGGACCTTACCTAGGGATGCCACAGGTAGGACTCAAACTGACAGTTTGGAAGCTATTTTAACCCAATTCTCATTGCCCTCACTGTCCTTCTTGGATCCCAGCAAGGAAGGAACAAAATAAAGGCCCAACACAGAAGACAGTCCTGAAATACAGGTGAACACGGATCCCGATGGGAAAATGAGGGCTTTGAACTAGACAGAGGGCAGCAGGAAATGAGAAGGGGCACTGGCAACTATCCGACTGAAAAGAACACTGTTGAAGGGCGGAGCCGAGGCTGAGGGCACCCAGTGGCTATAGAGAAAACTTGAGAGTGGAAAGGTAGGTTTATGTCTTCCCAGGCTGAGGATGAGTATGCAAAAGAGACAGGGAGAGGACCCATCCTTGCTTGTTCCATGAGGTATGGCAAACAGTATCCAACACAAGGAGCCCCGGTCTGGTGGGGGACATATGTATGACATGACTTCTACCAGGGGGAGGCCAGGGTTTGGTGTTATTCAGAACAAATCACTTTGGAGCACAGGGGAGGGAATGACTGGTTTTAATGGGGATGTGGAGGGCATCGTAGAGACCCAAAGCATGACAGGGTATGCAGCTTGAAGTGTAAGCATGGTGCTAGGTGAAGGGCTGAGGAAAGGGCTCAAAGGAAAGAAGCCAGGAGACCCACTGGTTATCAGAGAAAGTATCTTCATGTTGAAATGACCTTGATGATGGTGTGTGGGAGAGAGGACATAGAGGAGTCTAGAATGGATCTGGCTGGACGCTCGGCCAGACACAGTATCAGAGGAGGGTCAGGGAAACAGGCAGAGCCTAGGAAAATCGTGCAGGATTTGGTGACTAATGGTCATATGAGGATGAAAATGGTCCAGGAGATGGATGAAGATGCAATCTGAAAAGGAAACAGATGCTGGGCAATTTGGAGGCTGTAGCAAGACATCTTCCTTGGGCCTGTAAGGCACAACACAACCAACCATCAATGTAGCCACCCATCAACAGGCTGCCTCCTTTTGTTTGGCATCAAGTGGGCACTAAAGGGGCCTTTCTGCTAGGGTGTGGAGGTGTGGCTACGTTTTGTCCAGGGCTGGAGGATGTTTCCTTTCCTGGCCTTCTGAAACCCCCAACAAACAACAAAAACATATAGCGTGGGGGGGGGCGTGAGGCCTGGGGTATTCTTTGGGCAAGAGAGGCTGATGCAAAGTCAAAAGGGTATTGGGGAGCGATGTCAGGGCCACAGCTAGCGGCCCACAGCTACCTACCACTGCAGTCCCCTGCAGGAAGAATCCTTCCTTTCGTTCTGCGCCCCCATCCCCCCACCCACTCAGGTTTAAGGCCCCCTTCCCAAGGAAAGAACTGGAAACACAAAAAGACCAGACCAGAGACAAAAGGAGAGGATTGGGAGGGAAACTGAAAGACTGAGGGAGATTGAAGAACAGAAAAAGCCGGAGACCCTGTTAAATTCCAGAGACAAACGGACGGTCCGCTCTCAGACAAAATGGCTAGCGGAGGTGCCAGGGAGGGCCTGTCGCGGTGGCCGCTCCGAGATGGCAGGGCAGACGGAGCCGGCGGCGGGCGGCGGGCGCGGGAGGCCCGCAGGGTGCGGGGGAGGTTCTGCCGCCGCCCCCGGCCCGCTGTCCCGGCCGCTCGGCGCCTCATTTCACACCTCGCCGCCCCCGGCCCCGTCTGTGCGGAGCCGGGAATACCCCCCGCCGCCCAGCCCGCACCTGCTCCTTCCTCGCCGCCCCCTCGCTTCCTCCCGGCCGCCCGCTGAGCCCGAGCCGATCCCCGGGGCCGGGGCCGGGGCCCACAACTGGCCACCGCTGGATGGGATGCCCCGAGCCCGGGGTGCTGAGGGAAGGGTCCGGGGCCTAAAGCCGGGGTTCCGATGCCGGGAGGCGAGGCTCACGGGGCAATGCGGACATCGCCGTACCTGGCCCGCTCGGTCCGACGGAGCGGCGGCCGCACGGAGCCACAGCGGCGGCGGAGGCGGCGCAGGGGTCAGGAGGCTAGGGGCAACGCGGCAGGGGACTGAATCGAGAAAATGGGGTGTCGGACAGAGGCGGGGCGGGGAGGGGGCGGGCTGCGGCCGGCGATCAGCGGGGCGCTGGGAAGCAGGCGGGCCCGCGCTGAGGGAGACAACGAAATGGACCGATGGCATGAGTCTGGCGCCCCCGGGCTGACAGCCAGCCCCGGTCTATCCTACCTCTTCAATCTCAGGCCGCCGCCGGCACTGCTGCGGTCCCGGGGACTCACGAGGCGGGTGGTCTCCGAGCCTCCGGTGGCGGGAGAGGGCTCCATGTCCCCGCGGCCCCGACCGTCTAAGCCACACGGAGGGGGAGAGGCGGGGCCGGCCTTGCGCCAAATCCGAGCGACGCGAGGACCACCCGGACTCCCCGCAAGGCCGTGGGGCCACCAGAGTGGAGAGAACTGCGGCGACTGTGGCGCTCTGAGTCCGAACTGCAGAGCCCGCGGCAGCAGGAGCCCCGCCCCACGTGGGGCGAGCTCCCCAAACTCCGCCCCCAAGCTCCAGAATCTTTCTCTCTCCCACACTTAAGACACGCCCCCCAGGACCGCCCCTAAATCCCAAGCCTTATCCCACCCCCACCCCACCCCACGCGCCAAATCGTGGGGTGGGGGAACCACCACGGTGCCCTGACACTGGGGTTCTAGAGAGCACTCCATCTCCAGAGCCCCGCCCTCTCCAAAGCCCCGCCCACCAGTTCCTAGCCCGGCTCTTCTCACCTAGGGTCCCCACCGGCACCAAACTTTTGGAAGAGACACTGTTCTATGCATGAGGGCTTAGGGACGTCGTCCCACCACCCAATCACTTTGTGGCTCTGGCCCCCACGCGAAGGCAGACACAGGTGCCAAGTCGATCTGGAGAGAAACAGAGAGAATCTGGGGTGAGCAGTGACACGTTCCCAAACAACTCTAAGGACTCCAGCCAGAAATCCCACAGTGGAGGCTCTGGAATAGGAATCCATGAGCAAAATCTGCTGCCAAGCACTGTGCCGCTAATTACCATTTATTTTTATACAGGGACCTTGGGTAACAAAACCCTTTCTGCTGTCCTTCAACCCATATATAATGCCCACCTTCCAGAGGAGTAAACTAAGTCCTAGAAGCACGCAAGGTCATGTGACCTGGAACAAACTCCCCATCCTTTTCCCCACCTGGATCAGATTACGGCCCCGCGCCGGGCTAGCAACTGAAGCCAGTGGGTTATGTTCCTGTCACAGAGAGGCCCAGCAAGAGGTACACTGTCACCTTTCTGGGGTCACTAGCCACTGTTCATTGAGGGAGGCTGCCTGTTCCGCTTGTCAGCTTGTGACTCCTTCCTTGCCTACATACTGTAACACCGTCTGGTATACTCGTTTGGGGATAGACCAAAGTCCAGAGAAAGGAGTGACTTACAGGTGGCCAAGGTTGGAGTCAAAACTTCAAATGCTCAATGCTCTCTACTCCTCGCACCTGCCGCCGCTGTAGAATGAAAAGGAGAGGGGAACTGGGTTGCACATTCTCAGCTGTGACAGCCTGCTAAGAGGAGGGTCCGTAGGAGGAGGGGAGAGACCAGCGGTGAAAAGAGAACTGCGGTGTGTGTGTGTGTGTGTGTGTGTGTGGAGAGAGAGAAAGAGAGAGAGAGAGAGAGAGAGAGAGAGAGAGAGAGAGAGAGAGAGAGAGAGAGAGAGAGCGAGCCCAGGCAATAAACCCACCAACCGCATCCTTTGGAACACACCGAGCCTTATGAATTCAAAGTCCTGGGGATTGACACCTGCCCTCAACATGGTTGTTCCAAACGATGAGAGTGTGCATTTCCAAAACGCAAACCAAACCAAACAAAAATGAAAAAGCGAAAGAAATCGTGAGCACGCCAGACAGTGTCTGGAAATGATGGGGTTAACCCGGGAGCGCTTCGCGGAGGAGGTGAGGCTTAAAACGGATTAGGCAAACAGGGCAGCGGGCTGGCTGTTCCGGCGGGGGAAGAGTGCGGCTAGGCTCGCGCCAGGTTTGCGGGGCGGCGTGCGTAAAGGGATGGCAGTGAGCCGAGAAGCGGAGCAGAAAACCCGGGGTCTGCGCGCCTTTGGTGTGGTCCGCCCACGCACGCCTGAGGCCTCTGTCGCTTAGGCCAAAGGGGGCTCACTCCTCCCAATCTTCCCTACGGTGTTGGGGGCCTCTGCTCTCGGTTCGGTTCGCGTCTCAGGAGGACAGAGGGGAAGCCGTGGGCCAAGGTCACCTTGTTGGTTCAAGTCAGAGTCAAGGTGGAAATCGTATCCCTGTCCAGCTAAACCAACCCCCTGGACTCGTCTAGCCCAGAGCCGTCGGTTTTCTAAACTCGCTGCTTGCCCTGGGGTTCCCCTGATTCTAATTGCGCTGGTGCTTGGGCGGGGGTTAGGGAGAGGTGTGTTGCAAAGAGCCTTGCTGCACCAGGGCGAGCTCCAGGATGGGGAACCGGCTCCTAGGCACGCCTCGGCCGATGACGACAACAGGGAACTTGACAACAATGGCTTCCTCTGGGATTTCCCTTCCTGAGTAGCCAGCAGAGCATCCCCGACTGCCCAGGAGGGGGCGCGGATATTGGCACGTGCCCGACCCGCCACCGGGTGGGAAGCAGGCAGGCCTGGAAGTGAAAGGAACGTCGGAGAGGATGGATGACAGCCTCACTGTCTGTCTGGCTGCGGAACGCGCCGCCTCCAGAAGCCTAGAGCGCCGGCAGTGGGAAGACCAACAGTTGCCTTCGCTTGGGAATCTACGCAAGGAAAGCTTGGCAGTAAAACTGGTGTTTGTGCCTGCTTCTCCGGGAGCCACTGGAATTCTGCACAGGACCCTTATAAGGAACAACAGACCTGGGGGAGTCGTACTGCACCTGGAGAGGGGTTTGGAAGGCCAGTCTAGGCTGGTGTCCCTTATGGACGCGTCAAGTTTACTCAACACAACACCTCCCACTACCGTCTCCACACCACCCTAGCTGGGGATTGGTGCTGAATGAGATAGACAAGGTCCCTCTCCTAAGGATTTCTAGAGATTGCTCTTCTATGGTCCTCTGTTAAATCAGTGCAATATTGATTCATCCGCGTGCCTACTACCTGCCCCGCTTTGCCTCTCTAGCAATCTTCTCTACAGCGACTCATTGGTCAATTCTTAGTCCCAAAGGCTTGACAGGAACCCTTGCATTTCCCCCAGAAGGACAATTCAGGGTCAGATTCCAGAGGGCCTCCGTCAGAACAGCTTGGAAGAAGCTGCAGAGGTACCCAGGTTAAAAGTCCACCATGGACTGAGAGAGGACGCAATGAAGTCAGATTAAACCTGGGCGCAGGCAAAATTTGCAATATAAGTATGCTGTGTCTCCGCGTCCCCCGCCGCACTAGTGGCTGCCACATGATTTCTCAATTAAGTATTCCAAACAGGGGAAGTGGGTTGTGAGGATGGCAGGACAGAGAAGGCCGGCTTTTCGTTGGTAATAAAGGGAATGACCAGAGCCTGCAGTTTAAATGCCTCCTTGCCCCAGGGAATCTTCCCTGGCTCCTAAGTAGGTCAGGTCTCACACTAAACGGCCTCCTGGCTTGCTAATTTTTCTTTCTTAGTGTCTACCCCCTGAACTGTAATTGTCATTCCACAGTTGTTTGATTCAGCACCTAGCTCCCAGGATACCATTCTGGTTTCTCTGTGTGTGTGTCTTATTTTGCTGTCTATTCTCTCTCTCCTTGTTACCTCCTCATCTTCTCAATCTTTTAATGGTGGATTGATCCAGGATTTGTCACTGTGTCTTCTTTTTTGCGCTCACTCCTATGGAGCTATCCTATCCTATGGTCTTCAGCCTTTAAATGGTGTCAAGTAACAACAGAATGCACAACTTCTTAAGCCTGGGGTTGGGTGGTGGGAAACCAAGTCCTGTTCTATTTTTATGTTTGAAATTTATTTTAAAAGAATCAAAATAACTAGGTGTCAGTGTCGCATGCCTTTAATCCCAGCACTAGGGAGGCAGAGGCAGGTGGATCTCTGTGAGTTCAAGGCCAGTCTGATCTACAGAATGAGTTCCAGAACAGTCTCTAAAACAATACAGAGAAACCCTGTCTTAAAAAAAAAAAAATGGCATCTAAGGATGATGGTTCCCTCCAAACTCTCTACTCACTGCCATTCTTGATGCTGTCTCAAGTGTCTAGCAGGGAGGCATCTTGGGTTATACAGTTAAAAACTGAGCTCCTGATAGCTACCCAACCCCAAATCTCCTCTGCCTACAGTGCTCTCATGTCAGGACATGACACCATCCTCCAATTGCTCAGGTCATCCTTGACTCTTCTATGCTCACCCACAGCCTGTTCCCACCCTTCCACACTGCCACCACCTGCCCTCCCAATGGCAACCTCCCCATTTCCACTTTTCTTACCTATGACTATATTTCCAGTCCAGTAGCTAGGCAGCACAGGTCAGATTCATCCTCTTTCCTCCCTCCCTCTCTCTGTCTCTCTCTCCCCCTCTCTCTCCCTCTCTCTAACACACACACACACACACACACACACACACACACACACACACTCCAGGGTTTCTTCTGTATAGCCCTGGTTATCCTGAAACTAATTATGTAGACCAGGCTGGCCTCAAACTCAGAGATCTGCCTCCTCTGCTTCCCAAGTGCTGGGAGTAAATGAGTGTGCCACCCCTGCCCTGCTGGTCATTTTCTCTTATACATTTTCTCCCCTGTTCCACTCTCCAATGATTCTAGCCTTATGTAAGTCCCACAATGCTACAATATGCCTGGCACAGCCCTGCCACAGGACATTTGCACTTGTCCATATCTCTAACTGTAGTGAACACTGTCAGATGTGCCAGTAACCTATTTCCTCACTTTTTTTTTTTTTTTTTTTTTTTTTTTTTTTTTGAGACAGGGTTTCTCTGTATTGCAATAGGGACCAAACCCAGGGCCTCTGCATGCTTGGAAAGTAGTCTACCACCACTATTGACCTACAGTTCCAGCTAACTAACCTATACCTTTTACTTATTTTTCTTGCCATTTTTACCCATCAGTATGTAAGCCAGATATTGTGGCATTTGCTTGCAATCTCAGCACTCAGGAAGCTGAGGCAGGATTGAGAGTTTGAGGCCAGCCTGGGCTACACAGTGAGTGAAAAGCCACACTGGGCTGCAGACAGCAATCCTATCTCCTTTAACAATAAAATAAAGCAAGCCATTGGCTCAGTTGCTACAAGCACTTACGGCCAAACTTGACATCATGAGTTCAAGGGAGAAAACAAAATGCTACTAGTTGTCCTGTCACCTCCACAGCCACACAGTGGTGCATGCACACACACAAGCACATGCACACACATGCACACATGCAAGCACATGTACATACACATGTACACACACATGCAAATTTACACATACACACACACAGAAACACTCACACATGCAAGCACATGCACACACATGTATGCACACAAGCACATGCACACAAAATAAGCTTTTAAAAAGGCTTTTAGCTCAAGAAACCAAAGCAAAAGAAAAAAGTGGGTCTTTTGATGTTTGTTTGTTTTTTGAGAAAGGGTTTTTCTGTGGCTTTGGAGCCTGTCCTGGAACTCACATTGTAGACCAGGCTGGCCTTGAACTCACAGAAATATGCCTGCCTCTGCCTCCCAAATTCTGGGATTAAAGGCATGTACCACTACCACCCAGCAAAAAAAAAAAGTTGTTGTTTTTGGGTTTTTTTGTTTGTTTGTTTTTTAGCTAAATATAGTGGCATACACCTTTGATCCCAGCACTCTGGAGGCAAAGACTAGCAGATCTCTGTGATTTTGAGACCAGCCTGGCTTATATAGTGATTTCCAGAACAGCCAGAACTATATAGTGAAATCTTGGTAAAAAACTAAACTAAAACAAAACAAGCTCTTTTAGCCTTTAATCCCAGTACTTAGGTGGCAGAAGCAGTGGATCTCTGAGTTCAAAGCCAGCCTAGGGCTACATAGTGAGACCTTGTCTCAAAAAAACAAAAAATGGGGTGGGGTGATGAAGAGATGGCTGAGTGGTTAATAGTGCTTGCTGCTATTCCAGAGAACTCAGGCTCAGTTCCCAGCAGCCACACAAGACAACTCACAGCCAGGTAACTCTATTCCCAGTGGGTCTGGCTCCTTCTTCTGGCCTCTTTGGACACCTGTGCTCATACCCACACAGATACACAAATAAACATGAATAAAAACTGAAAGTAAATCTCAAAAAAATTAAAGAACATAAACTTTGGAGCATATATGTATATACATACACACACATATATCAAATGTATATATGTATGTGGATACATGTGTGTCACTGTGGTCAGGTGGAGGGTAGAATACTTGTAGGAGTCAGCTCTTTCCTTCCCTCCATGCAGGTATCCATAACTCAGGTCATCTCATCAGGCTTGTTGGTAACATGCCCTTAACCCACTGAGCTAAAAATTTTGACTTTATTCCTGGCATCTAGACAAGCCAGACATGACAGCACTGAAT